TTGGGCACGTCGTGCAACAGTGCCACTGTAAACGCCACTAACGCTTACTTTGGAGTCTCTATGCTGCGGCCTGGAGCTGACGACGAAAGGGCACCTCCAGAGACATCCAAGCAGGCTGACGCGAAGACTTCCTGCAAGTCTGTGACCATCTCTCGACGACATTGAAGACCGGCGTGAATTTCTTTGGTGATGTCTGGCACCGTGTCCAGGAATGGTGCATCGTTGTCCGGATGAAGGCAGACCACATACATCGAGGACACCCGGAATCCATCATGCGTTTGCAGTATATGTAATCTAATTTGTAGATGTTTAGCTGCATGCGGTAGTGCCACCTGCTGCAGTCTGTTTTGAATATGGTCCAGTGGCACTGCCATGGCTCGCCACGGGTTGCTGTACTTTGAGTGCAGTTGCTTGGTTCTCTTCCAATCGACGAGAACCACGCTGTTGTCAAAAACCTCGGCCACAAAGTCAATGCAACCGGCCGAAGACTCATCTTCGTCGAAAATGCACCACTCTGTGCGAAACGCAGGAAGGCTCCACGGCAGTACACCTCGATTTGTCAGTGCATCCAGGTCCGGCGGTTGGCCACTTCTCTTGCATTGCGCGCCCAGAAGTTCTTGATCTCTTGGGGTGTGAAGGGCGCCAGTGCAGTAAACATGACTATCTGCCACGAAGATGATGTTGTCATCTCGCACATGCTAGTGGATTTCATCAAAAGCAAAAAGCTCACGCTCAAAAAACTGGGCAGCCTGTCGTGGGCGAGGTTCAGCGCACGCTTCGATGGGCAGCCTAATCTGCGAGCTTCCCAGCAGATACGTAGGACAGCATGCAGGATTTAGGCCTGGCCTCTCTCCATTGCAAGTCGCTTCATGTGTTCCTAGCGTCTCCTGCGCTGTCGCGGCACAGCTTCGGAATGGGAGCGGCTAGCCATCGCAAGCCAACGCAAAGCTCCATGCCATTGGACAGCACAGCATTGCGCGACATTGCCATAGATCCTCCCACTGTATCTCTCCAATCCATGTCCGGCGACATTGCGTTTGCAAGAGCCTGGCGACGCTGGCGCTGCCGCGCCACCAAGTCGCATTGCAGCCTCACAGCGTGAGCCACAGCGAGCTCCTCCCATTCGTCTTCCGCTCCATGGAAGCCGACCGGGTGCTGCAATCTTGCCAAAGCTTCATTGACAGTCAGACGGTCGTCTGCAACAGCATGGAGAAAGCCACTGGGTTTACCACCGAGCAACACGGACCTTGCCATTCACTATATGTAACATCGGCAGACTTCAAACATGATAGGTAATTTGATTTCAACATACAAGTAACTGTCAGTTGGAAAGCATCAGCTCCTCGCCCCAGGAGGGACTCCATCTGCCCTCCTGGTGGATTCAAATCAACCATCCAAATTGTTGATATAGCGAGTAAGACTACATGACACACTGGGCAAACCAGGCTTATGTAATCGAAGTGCCGGAGCGCAGATCTTCAATGACTACAGTACTGTAGCGATTTCAGCGTAGAAACAATTACCAACTCGCAAAACTCAGCTCCTCCCCCCAGGAACGGTTCCATCTGCCCTTCTGACAGAATCATGCAATCTGAATGCAAATGAAAATAACCACCATGATCTTGCATATATCCATGCCAGTGCCAACGTGAAGTGTATGGTCCTGCCAGTCGACCATCCTCTGATGCCGCCGTTGCCAACGAGACATGGCCATAATGCAGCTCAAGGCAGGTACGTAGATACTCTCTGGAAAGGCCTGCCCTGCGCAAAAGGAAATTGAAGCTTGAAGCCTGGCCATTTCAATCCAAGCTGGACGTCTTAAAACCACAATCAATTAAGATCTCAATGCTCCCGAACCCAACATCATAATACAAATGATGGAACAAAACAATGTCCTTTTTGACTTCACTGTATTCAGTATTCACGAATTCAAGATTTTTGCTACTACTTTTAATGCAAATTCAAAACATTGAATTTCGGAAATGCTGAATTATTCAATAATTCAGGACTTCAAGATTTTTCTGTGTTTAAACTAACCGAAATCCCCAAATATGGAAATAATACATTTCTGCTTTCAAAAACTCAGGAATTCAATGTTTTCTTCTTTGTAAAGCTTGAATTAAATATTGAACTTATGATGTTGAAAATTCACGATTTTTTATGCATCGTATGAATGTTAACCGAAATTCAAAAATTTGGAATTCCAAGGTTCACAGAAATTTCTATGTTTGGAAATCTTGAAAATTCTTGAAACCTGGAATCTCTAATTTCCAAATTCAAGAACTCAATACATTTTGTTTGTTAAAGTGATAAAAATTCATTTTTGAACTTAAGAATTCCAACAACTCAACATGCTTTAACTCTTGAATCTATTTATTTCGACAAGAAAAACATCTTCAATTATTGAATTATTGGATTCAGAACTTCAAAAATTTAAGAATTTTCAACAAATCATAGAATTGAAACTCCGGAAACGGCCAAACGATTCCAAGGCCTACGGAAATTTCATCACTGTTGAAATTTTGCAAATACTGGAATTCAAAAATTTAAGATTTTTCCAATCTTAAACGAATAGAAATTCAAAAATGTTGGTTTTTTGGATTGTTGAAGTCAAAAAATCAAGAATTCAAGGTGTTTTCCTGTTAAACTATACTAGACTTTCAACTATTGAATTGTTGCATTCTTGGCGTCAGAATGTCAAGAATTCAATATTATTGAATTTGCAATGATTTAAAATGAAAAACTTGAACTGTTGAATTCAAATATTCAAAAGTCAAGAACGTTCAACAATTCAACAGTTCTGCAAATTCCCTAAATTGTCGGTCGGTTCTAATTCCTTGAATTCTTGATATTCAACTCAAGAATTCATGATTCTCTTCTTAAGATTAATCTAAATCGAAAATTTGAACATTTGAAGTCTTGAATTCAAAAATTCAAGAATTCAAAATCTTCACCGTTTAAATTTTTAAGTTCGAAAATAGTTCTTGAGTTCTTGAACTCAATATTTTCAGGATTCAAGATTTTTACAATTTAATTAACTAGAAATTCGGATACCTTGAAGCTTTGAATTATCAGTCAAGGAGGCTCACAATGATACCAACAGGCTATCCCCAATTAGACCCTAAAGGTCCTGCGCACAAACCCCTATAGATCCCTTATGGAGTCCTTGAAGGAACCCTTTACCCTCGAGGGCTACTAAGTCCCATGATCCTTAGATCCTGAGACCCCTACACCCTTATAGATCCCTTGTAGAACCGTTTAAAGAGTTTAAGAACCCTTTAAGGAACCCTCAATCCGAACCCTTATAGAACCCTACTTGTAGATCCCTTTACTGAACCCTTTGAAGTTAATTACTGAGTCCCATGATCCGTCAAGTCTTCCTCCCTCAACCCTACATCCAAAACCCAAAACCCAAAACCGTGTTCCCTAAACCCTAAACCCTGAACAAAAACCCTGAACCCTAAACCCTCAACCCTAAACCCCAAACCCAAAACCGGTTTGGGGTCGGAATACGGCCCCTGCGTTTTGCCAGTTTTGAGCACAGGCGTCCTTGACTCCCAAACCAAAGAAACTAAAATAGCGAGAAGGTGTCCTAACAATACAGCTGCTGCGACTCGTATTTGCACATGTGGTCACATTAATACATATACCATGGTGACCACAAGTGTTGCTATACGTATTAGTACAGGTAACACACATATATATATATATATATATGTGGCAACCTCTCGCGGCCGCACTCCGCTGCTGAGGGCAGTACCTGAGACAGGGCTTCGTCAAAACTAATGAAAGTTTCAAGCTTGGGACCGTCACAAATATGCATGCCAATGAGACTAACGAAACCACAAAAAACAAAGAAACTAAAAAAAAAAAGAAACCAACAAAAACCAATGAAACCAAAACCAAAAAAAACAAAATCCCACGGGAGATCCAAAACCAAAGAAACCAAAAAAAAACAAAACCAAAAAAACAAAATCCCAGCCGGAATCCCAAACCAAAGAAACCAACCAAACAAAAAAACAAAACCAAAAAATTGGTTTCTTTGGCTTTGGATTTCGTCTGGGATTTTGTTTTTTTGGTTTTGTTTTTTTGGTTTCTTTGTTTTTTTGGTTTCTTTGGCGTTTTGGTTTCTTTGGTTTCTTTGTTTTTTTGGTTTGTTTGGTTTTGGATCTCCCTTGGGATTGTTATTTATTTTTATTTTTCGTTTCTTTTGTCTTTTTTTTTTTGGTTTCTTTGGTTTTTGTGGTTTCGTTGGGCTCTTGGCTTGCATATTTGTGACGGTCCCAAGCTTGAAACTTTCATTAGTTTTGACTTAGCTCTGTCTCAGGTACTGCCCTCAGCAGCGGAGTGCAGCCGCGAGAGGATGCCATATTGGTTTATATCTATACATATATACAAATATATGTATATATATATATATATGTGTGTGTGTGTGTGTTACCTGTACTAATACGTATAGCAACACTTGTGGTCACCATTGTATAGGTACTAATGAGACCACATGTGCAAGTACGAGTCGCAGCAGCTGTATTGTTAGTAGTATTAGTACTATTGGCATTCTCGCTATTGTTACTGTTACAGCCACGTAGAAACCGCTTCACGAAGCCAATCCGGCCCAAGAGATTTCGTATCTTTCAAAGCCATGCTCAAACTGTTTGAGGTTGCCTGATTCAGGTGATTGAAGCATTTTCCTGCGCAGCATTCCTGCGGATTTCTTTGTATCTCAATCATCAAATCCGTATCGACACGCGCGCACTCGTTTACAACAATAAATTCAGCCGCATCGTTGCTATCACGTGATGCTCATGTCCTGCCCCTTTGCTTTTCTACACATACGTCGCTCCGCGGTTGGTTCAAGCATGCTCATGATAAAGTTGCGTGTCTCTAAAACTAGCAAAACGCAGGGGCCGTATTCCGACCTCTAACCCCCAAAACCATAAACCCTAAAACCCCAAACCCAAAAAACCCTAAACCTCCTGGGTACTTCTGGGCCCGGCCGCCTTCTTCCGCCTGCGCCTCCTCCTCCTCCAAGTCGGCTTCCTGGGGGCTTAGAGGTTCTTGGCTTCCTTTGAGGTTTAGGGGTTTAGGGTTTGGGGGTTTAGGGGTTTAGGGATTTAGGGGAAAGGTAAGTGTTTAGGGCGATAGGGCTTTAGGGCTTAAGGGTTTAAGGGTTTTAGGGTTTAGGGTTTAGGGGTTCCGTAAGGGTCTATTTTGGACTTGGGGTTTGGGGTTTAGGATTTTAGGGTTTCAGCGCTCAGATTCTGGGTTCAGGACAGGGTTTAGGGAACAGCGGGCTTCGAAAGCCGCAGAGGCTTCGTGCCTACCATGTGTTATTTGAGGTTTAGGTTTAGGGTTTAGGGTTTAGGGTTGTTCTGATGGAGCTATGATGCGCGGCTACGAGGTTCTGAACATCTCGAGACAAGGGTTTCGGATTTATTAGGGCTTGGCTGCTCTGTTGTTGCGGGTACATGGCCTCTAACTATATATAGCAGTATGTTTTTAAGGGGCAACAGGCGTTAGATAGAGGGACTAGGAATACCGCAACTTTCTTGATACCTGCCGGCTTGACTTCTGGTCTGCGATGTTTCGGCCAGAGCTCATCAGGGCTAAGGCCACAAAGAAGATCGGAAAGTGGGGACCGAGAACTAGAAGAGGGTTTGTGGGCAGACCTTTGAATTAACGGGACTATAAGTGAATGCTACTGTTGATGCTATACATCCTGCATTACCTTAAGGACCCTAAACTATGGGATTTATGGTATATTCCTTATTGTGGGTAATGCAGGGTTTATATCATCAACCGTATTTTGATTTCGTCCGACCCGGATCTTGCGCTACCATGATTTCTACTACTAGTATAGATATGTAAGTTGTCTATACTCTGATCATGCAGGGACAGCAGTAACTGGGCTGCTAGGTTTAGGGTCTAGGGTTTAGCATTTTCAGCACGCCCTAAACCCTAAACCCCAAGCAAAGCGTGAACCACAAGCCCTCAGGCCCCGCCCCCTCTCCATGCAGAACCCTAAACCCTAAACCCCAGCCTCTACCTGGACCCTGAAGAATCCCCCTTATTTTTGTCTTCCTTATACAAGTCCATAAAAGGTAGGTTCTTTGGGGTCTAGGCAAACCCCACGGCCTAAACCCTAAAGCCAATGGTGCAGATGACCGCTGCTGATTCGCAGGCCGAGGTTCGGGTTCCGTCTTGGTCATCACCAACTGCGGGCGGCTTTTCGATTCTTGCGGGGTTCTTTTCCGACTGCGTACCGCTAGAATTCCTTGCCGGGAGAAGTTACAGCCTCTGGCTGTGGTAGACACTGCGGGCGGCTTAGGGTTCAGGGTTTCGGGCTCGGGTTCGTTCTACAGTGCAGGATGCTATACCTATATATCCATCTACTTGCTTGTCAACTCTAATTGCCCAGCATTATGGGCCATGGGCCGTAAAAATCTAGAGGGTATAACTCATGCTGCCCTTCTGTTGGGGCTGTGACTGCATGGGGCTTTCTCTTCTGCAGGCTCTAAAGACAAAGGGTCTCAAGTACCAAAAGAGTAGAATGTAGGGTGATTGGGAAGGTAACCATAAAAGAAACCGAGGAACCTTTGGGAAAGGACCTCCTAACTTCAGGGTAAAAGGATTCGAAATTTCGAGGGATCTTCCGATCATTGACTCCGAAGATCTCCGGTTGGAAGCACGCGGAGAACGGAGCCCCAATCTCAAGTTGGAGTTCCCAAAATTGCCGGACACAAGATGTGTAAATCTAGATGAAACTCTGCTGCTGCGACCGCCATACGCTTCGCTTCAATCCTGAAAGAGCTTCCTCGCTCTCAAGTTCGGGGTTCAGGCACCGCCAATTGCATTAGGTGCCATACGTTTACTAGGAGGATCATGTGACTTATAGTAGATAGGATTATAAGCTACAATTGTCAGTACCTTAATTGGGGGGCATAAGCAATTAAAAGTACCGTTCGTTGCCTGATTTGCAGCCCTGTAGCTACGAAGTCCCATGATCCTTGAAGTAGTGACCATAGACTCATATGTTTAGGGCACATCGAGGTCCTGGCTCAGAAAGTTTCTGCGATGCACACTGCTTTGATGAAAGCATTGCAAGGGGCTGATCTCACCAGACATCCCATGTACCCCGTACTTAAGACGTATTATTGGGCTCTCTGGGTAAAGCATACTTGGAGGATCACAAGAAAAAGGTAAGGTGACGAGCACCTTCATCTGGGCTGCAGGCAACTATATTTATAGCTAGTTTGCCCTTTCTCTATTCCTAGTGACTGCATGCCATGATCCTCTAAGGCGCCCAAACCCTAAACCCCTGAAGCCTTAAATAAACCCTAAACCCCTAAAGCCCTAAACCCCTAAAGCCTTAAACCCTGAACCCTCAACCCCCTAAAGCCCTGAAAGCCCCTAAAGCCTTAAACCTTCAACCCTCAACCCTACAGCCCTGAAAACCTCTGTTAAGCCTCAAACCTTCAACGTGAAACCCAGAGATCTCAAAGGCTCCGAGAGCTTTGCCTCGGACGGGTGCTTTGGAGCAGCGTGGGATTTCGCTTTTGCAGTCTCCTGTCATCAGAGAGCAGAATAGGTCCATAGGCCATATTCAATTTAACTATGAATTATGTGTTTTTTGAAAGACCTATGCATCAGAAAGCAGAATAGGTCCTGAATAAGTTTTAGGCTTAAGGGTTTAGGATTCGTGGAGGACCAGGTCATCAATGCTTTATAGGCTTAAGGTTTAGGGTTCATTCCCCTTCATCAAGGAACGTGCGCACATCACCGGGGGGGGGGATTGTCATTATGACCTAAGTTAAGCTTCTCAATTAATTCAGCGTACCCAGAACCCGAGATATCCTTACTTAAAGGTACCCTAAACCCTAGGTATCCTTAATTGAAGGCACCCTGAACCCCAATTGTCGTTAATTAACGACTCTAAACCCCAACACCCGTCAAAACGATACTACAGGGGGCCTTGATGCTTGCAATAGGATATTTTGGGGATACTATAGCAATGTATGGGTTTAGTCAGGAAGGGTTTGGGGATGTTGTTCGGATTTAGGGTTTAGGGTTTAGAGTTTAAGGTTTAGGGTTTAAGGGTTTAGGGGTTGGATGTTGGTATGTATTGAGGCTCCTACCCAGCGAGCCCAATACCCCCCAACCAAGGAAACAATACCTTAACTCACAAGACTAACCATCTCTCTAAAGTACGGTATGTACCTGAATTAAGGAGCAGAGGGCTGTCTGGACAGAGGTTCTAAATCTACGTGCAGAGGTTCGACAAGATGGCACTACCACGCCCGGGCGTTTTTTGTAAATATTGACTGTGCCGCTGAAGCCTACCCAACACCCCCCAGCCCTAAACCCTAAACCCCCAAACCCTAAACCCCTAAACCCGAAACCCTGCACCGCAAACCCTAACCCCTAAACCCTAAACCCGAAAGCCTAAACTCGGAGACCCTGAACTCCTAAATCCTAATCAGGATGGAACTCTTCGCTATAACCACCGGCGTTTCAGTATCTGTGGCTCACGCATGCCCTGATCAACTCAAGCTGGAACACTGCCTACCCTTAAACCCGAAGCTTTAAACCCTAAACAATAAACTACACTCGAGGGCTTAGGGCGCGTAGGGCTTCCAAGCAACTACCAAGCTACGACTTGAAACCCAACCAACCCTCGATCAGGAAGTACGGTTGATAATATAAATCCTGCATTAGCCATAATAAGGAATATACCATAATACCCCTAGTTTAGGGTCCATCAAGTAATGCAGGATATATATCATCAACAATACTGGGTGGAGAAGCCTAAACTTCAAAGCCCCTGAAACCCCACAGCCCAATGGGCTAAGCTTTATAGTAAGAAAACCCTAATCGCCTTGATAGGAAAACCTTAATCATTCCTATTCCTAATGCCTGAAGCCCCCAAAGCCCTAAAGGCCTAAACTTTCATCGCTTAAAACCTATAAAGCCCAAGGCTCTAAAGGGCTAAACTTCAATCCGACAACCCTGAGGACCCTAAAGCCCTAAAGGGCTACTGTAAACTTTAAGCCCGAAACTCCGCACGTCGGTTCAACCTAAGCTCTTTGGGTTACCAGGGTTTTGGTTTTAGGGTCTTCAGCGCCGTCCGAGGGTCTTTCGAAGGCGGTGGAAACGGTGCTTTCTTCGCGATTGGACCTCGTTTAGTATGTAGGGTTTGGGAGTTTAGGTGTAGGGGTGGGGGGTTTGGGGTTTAGGGTTTGGGTTGAGGCTTTCGGCCCTAAACTCTAAACCCTTGGGTTAAGGGGTCAGGGTTTAAAGGTTTCGGGTGTATCGATCGAAAGAAGGCCAGGCCTTTGCAAGGCTCCCGGTTGGCACCACTGCCCTAGGCTTCTCAAACAAACAAACAAAACACAAGTTTATGATTATCTTATAGTATATTGCGGTAAATTATCGTATATTCCGGTAGATGCCTCGCTCTCGGATCCACCGAAGCAGTGACAACGCAACACGGATGCCCCTTCAATATGCGTGTATGTATGTGTGTGTATACATATCTGTGTATATTATACATATATATGTATATATGTAGCGTCTCTCTCTTTAGTTTACCTGTGCTTATCTTTAGTTTGCTGTTTATTTTTGAAAGCCCCTTATATGCTCGTCCCTTTAAGAGGCTGCTACACTATACCCCCCAAGCCCAAATCGACTTATCATGGCCCTTCTGCGAGACCTTATGAACCTGTACAGCAACCATGTCAGACGCAAACAACACCTGAGTGACATTATGGTTGATGATATAAACCCTGCATAACCCATAATAAGGAATATACCATAATTCTCATAGTTCAGTGGCCTTAAGGTAAAGCAGGATGTATATCATCAACAAGATCATGAATTGGGGGGCTCCTTCATGATATGTCAGGGCTCGGGAGTCCCCCGCAACAAAACCTGATGTAAGAACCTGAAGTTTTAGTGCTTGCGGGTTTGGGGTTTCGGGTTTAGGGTTTTAGGGTTTAGGGATTTAGGGTTTTATGAGCAGCTCCCTCAAGGGTTTAGGTCCAGGCCTTAGGTTTTGGAAAAAACATATCCTTCAAACAGAGGGCTTCACATAAAGAGCCCCAATAAAGACCCACGATTTCTTCAAATGTAAGGAGCCCTGATAAAGACTTCGGTGTCTTAAAAGGGTAGGATCCAATTGATAGAAAGCCCCAAAAAGGAGCCAGGCTTTCTTAATTGGGTTCTTATATTATTCTAAGTATTACGTCCCTGCCGTTGCAGTCTGGCGACGGACTTTAGTCTTGCTCGCTGCAACGCCCATGCCTGCATTTTCTTCGCTGTATTTAGGATGTGCAGGCTTCTAGGGTTTAGTAAGGCTGTGGGGCTTGTAAAGTTTAGGGGCGTCGGGCTGGGAATTTGCAGGCTTCAAATCTAGCGTTTTGGGATCAGCTTTGCAGGGCTGTAGACACCACTCAAATCCAGGCGACGTCTCCCGAAGCCTTGCAGGTTCTCCGCGATTGCGATCTGCTCCACGTAGGCCTGCATCCGCTGCTGTTGATCCTGCATACGCTGTTGATCACCATCGTCGTTTGCGGCCACTAGTGCAGGAGGCATGGTGGGAACGGCAGCGCGAAGGGTTTCCGAGGCCTCCAACTCTCCACGCCTCGCCAGGCGAGCAGCTTCCGCACGGAAGAGCTCAGCAACAACGTTGTTGGTGCGAACCCTCTTCTTCGGGGAAGCCTCCTTGTGGATGTTCGTCCAAATTGCGCGAGCATGCTCCATCGGTCTGTCACTCTGCAAATAGTTGAAGAGACTCGTCACCTGCGCTTCCGTCATGTGCAATACTGCCATCGTCGCCTGCTGCAGGCGGGCTTGCAAGGCCCGCTCACACCGTCGTTTCCAAGCCTCGCGCCCTATGTCCCTAACCCCACACACGCGCGTATCTGGCCATGTGCTTTCCGAAGATTTTGCTATTTTCACTGATAATGCTGTCATGTGCCCCTGTCAGGACACGCAGGAGGGGTGGGGTGGGGGGTCGGGGGTGGGGTGGGGGGGTGGGGGAGGGGCTGATAGCGTCCGGTTTGATTTCAGTCCCTGTAACCCTAAACCTTGCAGGATCGCGACATCTCTGTCGGGGTTTGTTCTCGAAAGTGCTGGTATTTGCAGGACTT